AAATCCTGAGTTTATGTCTGTGTTTTAGGGAGGAAAGACTATAATATGACAAAATAACCTCATTGATGTACTGGACCTCTGCAGGTAGGGGGTGTACTCTCTACGTCTTAACCGGCGTCAGCCCATGGAATCAAGTTATTGGTTCCCCGTAATCTTTAACCCTCAAAAATGGGGCTTCCAATCTTAATCTTTTGTTCTCCTTCTAAATTCCAGAGAGTGATGAGTCCCATGCCCGCCCCATCCCAAAACAGATACACACCCCATCTCAGAGACATATTATACTCCTGAAACCCATCATTGCCTTCTGCTCCAACCACCACCCGGACTCAGGGCTTCATTTTACAAATGAAATATAATAATACACATTGAATTCTAAAGGCCAGACATGAATACACACACACACACACACACACACACACACACACACACACACACACTTGTGGTAATAGAAAACAAGTGAGCAACCAGTTTACAGCATGGTCCTTTACACTCAAAAAAACCACCACAGTACTGCACATTCCAGGAATGTAGTTTTTAATTTACTTGCCCTGCAGGATCCATGTGCCTTAAGGATTAAATGCAAGATATAAACAGTCATTAAAACACAAACACCTATATTAGTTAACCGGATATTAAGGGGAAAATATCACATGTGTTTAGAGTTCCATTTGCACGTTCAGGAACATCAATTTCAAGGGCTGGGTTTTATGGCATGCCCTTAAGCCAAAGGAGAACACCAGGTTGCAATCAAGGGAAGGAAGGTAAGGCTTCTTATAAGAAAACTCTCCCTACAATATCCTGTCCCTGGGGTTCTCTTTCTTTAGTTCAAAACCATCAGGAGAATGATGCCTGCTACTATCTTGGAAGATGAATAGCTGCTGCTGCTTGGACATTAATAGCTATACTATCCTGGTATAAAGAGGAGGCAGAGAAACAAATTTCCATGCTGTTTATCTGATGGTACTTTAAGTTACAAATAGTGAAATTCGGTGGGTTTTCAGCACAAAGAATTTGAAGCTTGCAGCAAATCCAAATTTTCTAACTCGCCTCTGTTTTGTACACCCTGCATGCCTGTGAGTGTACATCTGAAATAACCAATTTGTAATAATTCAACCAGGCAGAAAGGCACAACTTTTCTAATTTTTCGAAAGTGCACGTCTCTGGGCATCAGTGAAGCACACTCTAGATGCGGTAAGCCTAATGAATGACAGCTAAAAATAACAAGTCATCGGCTGTGGTCTTAAAGCCGCTACTTCAACACAGTCAAAGTGTCAAGTGGTCATTCTCTAGATCCTTATGCTGTGGGCTTTGAGCAACTTTCCGTTCCTGGGAATAACAGAATATAACCCACTTGGGGTCCTGATGTCTGTGAATTACTTACGTGAAGGAGAACACTGTTCAGGAAATGGAAATTCCAATTGTTTTCCCCCACTGGCTATCAGAAGGAGAAGGAATGGAACATGGCTCTTTAAAACAATTGCTTTTCACATTGCTTGCTGCAAGTGATGCTTCCAGTAGACTTGTGGTATCCAAGTCATGGAAAAGAGCCCGAGGCACCCACCAATCTACCCTTCCTGACTCCTATCATCATTGCCGTGAAGAAGCAACTGTGTGCTCTCAGGTATGACGTGTTGTGCTGGTTTTTCCAGGCTTCCCTGGAGAGCCACTCCCTCATCCCTGAGCAAACACTGATAGTGACTACACGGATTCCTACAGGACCCCATGGTTTTTATCTGTACCTGGATCTCTATAGACTCAGTGAGTACACTGCCCTGTTCCACAGAAAGGATGACACGGGTATACTCTGATACTCAAGAGATGCCTTGGGGCTCAGAGACCTTCCTCCTAGGCTCTCAAATCATTTCATTAATTCACACCTGATTTTACTTCTGTCTAGAGGAACACTACCCAACATAAATGCAATAAGAACCATAGATATAATTTATGCTTTTCTGTTAACTCCATTTAGAAAAATTAAAATAATTTAATAATAGAGTTTATTCAACCCAAGATAGCAAATGTATTTGAGCACAGATTGAACAAAAAAATATTTAACTAGAATCTTGACACAAACAATATTATTCTTCTAAGTAAAAATGGACACCCCCTTAAGAATCTTTACTCAGTAACTCTGTCTACAGTTCTTACGGCAGGGCAGTTAAAATATTTCTCTGTTGAGTTAGGTAGACTAAATAAATATTATAAAAAAATAAAGTGTTTTGAGAGGTGGGTAGTGGCTAACAGAATGGCTGGGTTAGGTTAATTATTAATTAAAGCCAGTTCATTGCTCAAAAAGTTGAAGAATTTCCCCCTAGGTTTATATATATCTTTCATGTCTAAATCCAAAGCACACACACTGAGGGCTTTCCTTGTAGTTGGCTCTGGATGAAGAAAAGCATGGCATAACGTGTGTTCCTGGGGTGGAAGGAATCACACAATCCCCAGAGATGACTGCAGCACCAGAGCAAGAGAAGCTTGTGTGCTTCCGTCCTGTGCCAAGGCAGGGGCCACATCCTTCAGGCCCCAGACTCCTTGCGTCACCAGGCACACAACCACAAGGAGGAAGAAAGGAAATATGTGTTTTCCTTTCTCCAGCTGATGTGCTGCTACTTAAGCTATACAACCTGCGTAAAGGCAAGCTACAAGCATTTTGAGTGGCAGTTTTGTTTCTTTCTTTTTTTTTTTTTTTTTTTCCAGAAATTAGAATACACCTCTCTGCTCGTAATGGAATATCACCCAAATACACACACTGCCTCAGAATTCCCTGAGGTCCTATTTGGATAAAGCTATTAGGAAGATGGGAGCCCTAATTTTCACTAAAAGAAACCAATATTTATGTTATTTCAGCTGTTCTAAGCACTGAGCCTATGTGATACAAACAGAAATATATGTGGGAGGATTTTTCTGCATGCAAAAGTGATAACACATTAATCAGACAGACTCATTCTAGGACATATAGATATCATAAAATATGCATTAAATCTTACTTATTCTTCTTTATGTTAATTTTCTAATACTTCTATCATTCCCTTTTCCCAATTCAATATATTTAGACTTAACCTGGTCTCCGTCACTGCATATCTAAGATGAAATGAAGACAAACAAACAAAAAACTCCACAAAATACTGAACACTGTCTTTCTCTGTATTCATCAATAAAGTAAATCAGATCTACCCAATTTTTATTAATATTCTATTAAATATATGTCCATAAAGAGCAACATTTAAAAAGATTTTATTTTTATTTTTTAATTTTGTGCTTACATGTGTTGACACAAGAGTTGAATGACTACAGAGGCCAAAAGAGGGAAGTGAATTCCCAGGAACTGGAGTTTCCAATGAAAGTCCTCTGAAAGGAAAGTAGGTGCTCTTCAACACCAATGCCTAAACTTGAGCTGAACAAGGAATACACCAAGAGACATGGCCACAGTTTATGAAGAAAGACCATGAGGTCTCAGCCCTAGACAGAGGCAACTAAAGAATGCTGAAAGCAATGGAAATAGTCTTCCCTAGAATACAACAATTGGCTATCCAATACCAAATGGTCAGCTCTGAAAACATATACATACATATTAGCAACATTATACCGACCGCACAGGCTATATTTAGAAATATGTATGTATACATATAGGTATGTATGTATATACATATATGCATGTATGTATATTTATGTATATGCATGTAACAACAATTAATTATTTTAAGAGGTAACCATGAATTTGAAGAGGTGTATGGCAGGTTTGGAGGGAGAAAAATAGAAGGGGGAAAAGAATGCAATTAAAATATAAAAAACAAAAGAAATCATAAAAAGTACATATTTAAAAGAGAAGATGCTTCTAAACACTGAGCCATCTCTCCAGCACCCAGAGGACAGAGCTTTGAATAGGATAATGAGATAAAATTACATCTAAATGTAATGCTTTAAATGCACTACTTTAGGGGGAAAAAGTCCAAAAATTGGGAAAATACCAATCAACTGTTAAATTTTCACTAATGCAGCACAGCAGCTCCTACTCTATAATCTTTGGCATTGGTTCCTGAAAACAAAATCACAGCAAATCGCGAGAATTGTCTTAGCTCATCTGTCACCTTAATAGACATTTTTTATAAAATGCCCTGAATGGTGAGAATCGTAATGACACAGGGATAGGCTGTTAGGAGAGTTTAAAACACGGTTACATTATTGAGGGATGTTCTTTGCGAGGATGGTCATTAACCAACGTGTTAACTTGCAAGCTATTTGAAGGGATGGACCACCATTATAGTTCTTCAATGTGAACGAGAATATAAAGAATAGGACCCACACTCAATGGATGGAGAATATCTTCCCCGTTCCTCGGAATTGCGAACTTAAACTCATCATTTATAAATATAGATAATACGAACATGTTGTCTCGGAAGTATTTTTTTCTTATGTAGTTTTTTTTTTTTTCTTTTCCTTTTCAGTGCTGAATTCTAGAAACCCAATGCTGGCCTCGTATACTCATGGTTTTGTGGGCTCAGACTGTCTTAGTATCCACTCGCTCTACCTTACACAGCTCTGTGCTAAGACTGACGAGGCAACAGTCTACCCTCTGACATTTTGAGGCAGGATTACCGCAGGCTTGCAGCAAAGTCATGTAGCTGGCTGGAAACGGAGCCTTCAGAGCCCTGACGGCGTGGTTCAGTTCCTGGGTCTCCCGCATCCTTGAACAAACAGCTCTGTATGTCCTGAATCTCCCTCTGACTCACATTTTCTCAGGAGACTGGAGATTTAAAAACTTGTCCTTTCTTCCACGAAGAAGTTTAAAGGTGGGTTTGCACAGGGTTGGACGCACAATCGATGTTATGTGAGCAATGGCTGATCACTCAAACTATACCCTACTACTAGACCGTGCTACCTATTTTTATAATCACGACTTTGTATTTTATCAAAAGGCCTGTATCTAATTCCCAGCTCTTTGGAGTTGATGGGCAAGGCCCTTTGATCCCTCACAGCACCGTGAATGGTGAGATACCTACCGGAACAACAGGTTTCAAGCTCAGGGTACTCGGGCTTGCGGCGCTTGGCTGGGCATCGGCATGAGGCCCTGGTGCTGGGTCACTGCTTCTCCTCACCAGCAGCGGAGTGCCTGCAGGACAAAATAAGAGGTGAGAGGTCGAAGGAACCCCACAGGGAAGAAAATAAATGGCACAATGTGCTTTAATTAAAAAGGTTTATAACGGGCTTTCATGTTTCACCGTTCCGTTTCTAAGGATGCTTGTTAATGAATCCACCCAGTGGTCTTTGGGCATCTCCGGATAGGACAGCAAGCATGCGCTCAGTCTTTCTACCCTCATTGTTCCCTACCTGCATTTTAAAACAACCATGGCATTTAACGGATGTGTTAGGATGTGAGATTGCACGGTGGGCAATCGAAGAGATTTCCTAAGAAGCACATGGAGTTTTAAAGAATGATTATGCACAAGACTAATGAAGAAGTTCAATCATTCAATGTAATTTGCTATTCAGTAGACCTACAAGCATATCTATTATTACCATTTGATGCTTTCCAAACCTTTTGAACAATGATTCACACTGAAAGATTATGTGCTGAGATGCACTGAGGTTCTAGCATTAATGTCTATTTAAGCATACAAGGAGATTGCTTCCATTCTGTTCTTTTTCCCTTAAAGTAGACAAAACTGATAGAGAAAATAGGTTAGTTCTTCTAAAAATATATCCTGATTTATTTTTAATTTAATAATAAGATCCCACTATTAAATATTTGAGTCAGTTATTAAGTTCTGAAGGAAAAAAAAAAAAAAGGTCATACTACTAGAAATTTCAAGCGCAATTCAGCCTCAGCAGAGCTAGCAAACCTAACAGTGCTCACTACAATTAGGCCTCAAATAATTTGCTTCACATGAAATTGGCTGCTATAAAGAAAAATGTAAAGAAAAAAAACCTGCTTGTGATTTAGAAATCACTCTCATGGAAAAATTAACTTTTTATTTGTGTACTTTTGGGAAAAGAGTGAAAAACAGTTGAATGGAATTTCTCATTTATCAACATTCTGAAAATAATTCCCCAAACTTCAATAGGTATTTTAGTTTAAAGGAACATTTTCAGCTCTTTTGTAAGTTATTTAACAAGCAGATTTTATATGGGCTACAACGTTCTTTTTTCTTCTGTACAAAACTCAGAACCACTGACATTTTATATCCTTTTCTACACATAAGCTGCTTTCTTGAAGACAAAAGTTCTCATAGTAAGTTGATATGCTGTCCAAGATAGAAACACTATGATAAAATGCATTAAAAATCTTGCATCCTTTCAATCTTTCTTTTTTTTTATTAGCAAATACATCACTGCTTTATTCTTTACTTCCTCCATCTCAACAATTTAAAAATAAATGTTAGACTGTACAGTTAGCAATTCCCTCTTTAATACAACGTAATAAATAAACTAGACTAGACGGAAAAAAATCCTTAAAATTCAGGATTTTATCTTTTTTTTAACTTGTTCAGTTGACAGATAGGCTAAATTTCTTTCAGGTTAAGCTCCTAAGTCATCAGTAGCACCAAGAGAAGAGCTGGTCTAGATACAATATTCTCAGAAACAGATCATGATATAGTCCCAAAGAAATTGGGAGAACAGGAAGGGAGCTACCTTGAAAATCTCAATTATTTTCAAGCATTTAATGAGGAAAGTGTGCTACAATTCAACAATCTCAAATTGGAAAAAAAAAAAAAACCAGAAAACAAGGAATGCCATTTTGGTTTGTTTTCTCACTGTCAAAAACAAGGCAGTGATGTAGCAGAGAAAAGAAATAGCAAGCAATAATCTCAGAAAATTTTAGTTTTTAGTTATTATGACTTTTCAGCTGAGTCATACACATACATACATACATCATACATATATCATACATACATGCACACACAAACATATATAAACAAACATAAAAACACATACACACATTATATATAAACTTACCCATATCATATATAAATATATACACACATATACATATATACACACAGACAAACACATACATATACATATACAGACACACTGATACAGATATACACACATACATACACACACAGGTCCAAATGTATGACACATGATTTTTCTTGTATTATCAATGTCTTTTTCTCAAGCTATAGAAGATCTTCAATCTTGAGGATGTGAGCCTTTGACTCATTGCAGTTCATCTACTGCTTTATTGATAAAATGTTAAATTACTTAAGAGGCTTTTGAAGTCGCAAGTAGCTGTATGCCTTCAATATACTATCATATTCTAATACATTTCTCAGGAGATGACAATTCAGTTTATTCCACTATTATCACCTATTTAGAACATTAAAAATGTTCATGCATGGAACTCCATTATTATGTATATCTTCCAAATTTTTATATATCAGTTTAAAACAAATTTAATTAATAAATACCTCACCACCACCACCAAACAACCAATCAACCTTTAAGTTGGATGGATCTTTCTTAAACATGAACTCAGCTCATTAGGAAAAAGTTTCCCTCTGTGTTTTTTTTTTTCCTTACACATTTGAATGTCTCCTGTTGAGTCACCTTCTAATTTTTCCTTGGCTGTCTTAATGTGTTAATAACAAGTGCAAATCATTTCATACTGGAATTAATAATGAGCATCTCAAAATATGAACTGTTATCTCAGTTTTAAACAAAACCTCCTCAGATTATTTTCAAACTGCCAACCCCTATTAGCTGACTGCTGTCAAGGAGAGTCCGAATTGGCACTCAAAGCCAAAGAGAGCATCCTTCTGTTCAGCAAAGGCAAGCAAGGAGAGGTGTTAATGGTTGGGCAAATCCTTGAACACAGTAGGGCTAAAGTCACATTTCACAATTCAAGCTCACTAAATAAGAGGGGGGTAATGCTATGTAGTTTCTTTCCTTGTGGAGAGGGGAGGAAATAAATAAGCATAAGACTGAAGGAGCTTGTTACCCAAGAAAAAGCTTGTAGATGCTAACGCTGCTAAATGCCAAGCATCAGGAGAATGGAGCAGACAGTGGGCTTTGGAGTCACATGGCTGAACTAGGCAGGTACTGGCTCTGGGACATTGAAAGTGGACTGCTCTGTAATAAACTTTCCACTGAAACTCTGGTGATAAAAACATGAAGGAGCTGTGAAGGGGGAGATATCAAAGCATGTACAATACACAACACTGACCACTTCAGACAGGAAGTTTACCCTCCTCTCCCCAACGTCCGCACAAAGGGAGAGACGTCCCTTTATATTTGTTATTGATAATGTTAGCTTATCCAACATATCAACTTCATAAAATCAAATTCATTTTTAGGGAATATTATGTGAGTGAAAACTAGCAAAATGTAATTCTACAGTAATAATATATAGCCTTAAAGTTAGAGTTAAAAATATTTTTTTTTAGATGGAGGAGGAAGGGAGTTCAGAAATGGGAAAAGTTTTCTAGCCATTATTTTCTATCTAATTGAGGAGGCTCTTAGATTTCAGAGCCAAAATAATTCATTTCAGCTGAGGAAGCCATAGATAGCATTCCTTGGAGTCAGAGTTTAAAAGCCAGCAGAGGCGAACTGAAATGAAATAAGGAATATTGCGTGATGGCTTATCTCCACAATTAAATATCTGAAGCTCGGCTGTGCAACAGGACCAATGCAGTGGGCTTATGGAAGTGAGGACAGTGAGCTGAACAACCACAGGACTTTGGCTTCTTTTTCATTGAAGAAAGCATGGGGGACAAGAAACATGTCTGTGGGGTTCAGTATATAGAAAGGTAGGTAACCCAAACGAGTAGGCAACACATAGTAACAGGAGAATCCATGCCAATGCTGGTCAGTGCACCTGCATTCTATGTGGTGGACAAAGCTCCATTTTTGCTTAGCTAGGTACCCTGGGGCCAACTATACTACGTGGAGCAAGAGAAAAAGCCCTAATGTTGTACATAGCAGTTGGTGGTTATGTTCCCACAAAAGAGATCTTGTTATATTAAGCCCAGTTCTCACTGGGGTAGCGCTAATGGGTGCTCAGAACTTAATCCTCACTCTAGAGAAAACTTAAACAGTCACTGAAGACTTTTTGTCTTCAAAGTCTCAGATGGTTGAGCCAGAGAGCATGGGCTGAGTTTGGACGGCGCTTGCTTATACGACAAGTGAAGTCATTTAATACAGAATTTGGAGGACCGTGAAAGACATGCCATGCTTATGGGAGTAAAAAGGATGAAGCAGTTTTCAGGTGTCTATGAGCGATGGTGCATTTTTTAGGTGTCAAACGATTACCAGTTTAATGATGGTGAAACTAGTACACAAAGGAGGTACAATTAAACATCTAACATCCCCATTAAATGTTCCTAAGGCATTTTGAAAAAATAAAAGAATTTTAAAAGGGGCAACAATTAATTAAAAGTTAATATTGTTACACTAATGGATTGTGGACTATATAAGTGCAAACATGAAAGGAAGGAGGGAAATATTTCCTATATAATACAAGGTTTTTACTTTGATACATGCATGAAAATGCATACATATACACACACACAGGGAGTGAGGAGGGAGGGAAGGAGGGAGAAAGGGAAGGAGTAAGGGAGGGAGAAAAGAGAGGAGAGGGGAAGGAGAGAGGAAGGGAGGGAGGAGGAGAGGGAGAGAAGGAGAAAGGGGGAGAAGGAGAGAGGGAGGGAGAAAGAGAAAAAGCAAAAGAGAGAGAGAAACAGACACACACACACAGATTTCTACAACTGAACATTGTTTTGGATGGAACTGCTTAAATGACAAGTCATGTCATTTAATATTGAACTTGGGGGTCCTTGAAGGACAGGCCATTACAGAAAAAGAAACCAGGAATCTGAGGAATCATAACAGGAAGCGCTTGGCAGCAGAGAAAACAAACAATAGTTTTAAACATGAGCCACACGTCAAGTCCCAAGGACACATGTTCTAAACTGTATAGGGAGTAGCAGCAGCAATTTATTTATTTAAAGATGGTTAATGATCCTCCGGAGCAATGCCAGAAGGGCAGCTTGTCAGTATTAGCGTCGTTTCATCCCGAGGCAGCGCTAGTGAGTGCGAAGACATGACATTCTGTAAGAACAAGATGGTCTCCAGCTTAGGAGGCAGGGAGGGCAACGACAGGATGCTGAACAGAGCGCGTTCAGTCAGGGGCAGAAACAGAGAGAAGCTGGGGGAGAAAACGGGAGACTTTGGCAATGATTACAACTACGTTCTAATGAAGGGGAGCACAGCGGGCAGTTGTGATCTATATGTGCTTTGCATGGATAAGAGCAACGGATGTTTGACCCTAATG